CTCCAGTTTCCAGTCGGGCCTTGAGCCCAGGACACAGACTAGTCGAGGTTTAGAGGCGAGATGGAAAATGCACCCTTTATCACGCCAACATCTCTGTTCACCACAACTATAGTGCGGGGTGAGTGGCGTTGGGCTTGGTGCCATGCCTCTAAACGCCTTTACCCCGCGCCGCGGCGCGGGCGGCCCTGACCTGGGGCATGGGCGTTTGTTTCCAGCCGGACCAGGTTCCCGGGCGCTCCTGAGAGCTGCGCCTGCGCACTCAGCCCGTCACCGCGCCGGCCCTGCGGACGTGCTGTCGCTGGCTTCGCGGCGCCTGTGCCCTGAGATATGCGGCTGCCGGATCCATGCCAGCTTCAGGTGTGTGAGGCGTTCAGGAATCCGGGTGCGAAGTGGGGCGACCCCGGGGGAGGGTCGGGCCTGGCTCGATCGTGCCAAGGTGCCCAGCGGCCCAGAACGGGGCGCCACGACCCGGGCTCCCTTAGGTTTCCCACCTCCCCGCCTGCTGAGTGCGCCTCAGGGGCAGCGGGAAGCGGCGAGCAAGGTGCGGAAGGAGCGCTTTTTCGCCGCTGAGGGGCGTATCTCGGCGCCTGTGTTTCCCTGGCTGCGGCCACAGCCGGTCTCACGTTTGCCCTTCCTTTCTGAGGTGGCATTTTGCGGTGTGTGGACTCGACCCCGAGGTGCTTACTGGTTGTGAGCGAGGAGCGGCCGTCAGGGTCGGCTGTCCGCGTGAGAGGCTGGGCCGAAGGTTCGAGGCCAGCAGAGGGCAGAAGGAGCGAGAAAGCGGAAAAAGCTGTGGTAAAGGCGTCAGCGGTTATTGCCCAACAGAGTCTTCTGAGCGTCTCTCAGATCTTTCGTTTCTTGTGGATTTACTTTTGTAATATCCTCTTTTCGTTTGGATGCTCTTACGTAAGACTAGAAAATCAACAGCCTTCCAGCCTTGAGGCAGCATTGGACTTCATCGAGGTCAGTTTTTAGAGTCTTCCAGGAATATGTCTGGCTCTTGGCGGAATTTTCCCTTCGAACCATTGAGCAGATTTATTGTTTCACTTTTTATGTTCAGTTTAACTTAGTAAAAATTAGTCTTGGGTTTGTCTTTTAAATGTTGTTGGCCAAAAAAAAAAAAAAAAGTTGAGAGAACAGAAAACCAGCTGAAAGAGGATTTGGAGCGCTGTTAAAGTGTACCCTTATATAAGGAGCCCTGATGGCGCAATGGTTAAAGCTCGGCTGCTAACCAAAAGGTCAGAGGTTCCAACCCACCAGCCGCTCCAGGAGAGAGAGAGGTGGCAGTCTGCGTCCGGTAAAGATTACAGCCTTGGAAACCCTATGGGGCAGCTCTGCTCTGCCCTAGAGGGTCACTGAGTTGGAATCGATGATGGCAGTGGGTTTGGTTTTTTTGTTTTGCCCTTGTATAAGTATATGGGGGGACTACAGTTGGAGTGGTGGTGATCCCTGAGGGGACATTTCTGAATAGGAAGTGAGATCACCACCTGCCACTAATGGTTCTAACAGTATGGGGCTCCCAGTAAGTGCTTTCCCACGTGGTGAGAAGGAAGTCATAGTAAGTTAGTGCTACTGGTGGTCAGCCATAGGTATTTTTTAGCACAGGAGCTGTGGGTGGCCAATTCCTATTATAATCAGAAGTAATTGTCATGAGTGCAGTTTCTAGTGTGGGATTTTTTTCAGGAGTGTTCCACAGAAACATGTACTAAAGGGAAAGAGAGACATATAAAAGGAAATGAGGAGTCTGGCTCCAGGCCTGACCGTAGGCAGTTACAAGGCTTTGGCTGACATGCATCCTGGGGAAGCTCCCCTCCCCACACCAGACTTGGTGCACAGCCAGTGTACAGTATTGAAATTTCTGGAGGGAGTTTCAGTTAAGGACTCCCCCCTCCCAACCCTGCCACCTCCAGCCGTACTTACAAGCATATCTGCATTCACGGTCCAGGTGCCTCCATTCAGAGGCACTTCCCAGGGACCTCCACTAAGATGTCATTGGGAGTCTTGGCTGAATCGATTTTCAACACTTTGACTCACTACCTTTCCATTCCTAACCCTTCTTCCTTTCCCTTCCCGCAAACCACTCGTTTTTTTAATCACCTCCTGTTCACCTCTTGGTGAGAGAGGGATTCCCGCCCTAGGGTTATGGGCATGGCTGAACACATGACACCTGACACTGGATAGTTGAGCTCAACGTAGTTTATTCATCATGTATACTCACAGCTCAGGGGAGAGGGACACCGCAACAGCACACAGGGCCACACAGGGGTTGCGCTTAGGAATAGAGTGAACAGCCAGGGGTTGGGGAAAGCAAACTTTGTAGTATCAAGAGGGCGGGGTGCCCCGGGATCCACAGGAGGATATGATTAGCTTGTTTGAATAATTCTGCAGGCTGGCAGAGAACTGAAACCCACTAATCAAGGATAAGCAGGAACTGTGCCTAGGTCCCCTTGATTAGGACTATTGTTTGGTGAGGGGACTTACGGCAGGAGCAGAGGAGGGAGGGGAACTTGTGGTTAGACCACTTGAGGCCCTCCCAATTTTTTCAGATACCACGGCAGCACATAATATTGGGCCTTAGTTTTAGGCCATATACCACATTGCTCCATAAAGAGGCAGGAGCCTTTTGTTCAGGGCTCCTGGGCAGTGAAATGACTCCCCATCTGTGCTCATCCAGTGCTCTTCGTGGGGAAAAGTGCAATAGTGGGCAGTCAGCATCTCTTTTTTTTGCCACTTACTTGCACTGTCACAGTAAATGAATAAAATAAAGACTTGATTGTTACTTTCCGTTGGGCTCATTGTCCTAATTGATCACCTCAACGCCTAATCGTTCAGATTGAATTAAGTAAATGACCAAGTTCTTGCCAGTTTACTGGATTCATGTCTTAATTTTGATGCTCATGACTGTTGCTCTGGGTCAGCGTGTTTAAGGATTTTGGAGGTTGTTCACCTATAATTTCTCAAACTCATTGTAATGAAAAATGCATCTTCATAGCACCAACAGCTGATTGTTGCTAAGATGGGTATCTGGTTTATAAAGTGTATTTTATAAACTAATATAGTGACTTGTAGTCAGATTATTTTATATTGTGTATATTTGTGTGACATATTTTTCTATTTAGCCTCTAGTTCTTTCTTTTTTTTTTTATCATCATATGGAAGTGATGTGGGCCAACTGAAGAAAACTGAACCCTTGCTTTCCTTAGTTATCCTGTCTTATCCTGAGGGCTCTGATGTTTATCAACTTAATAGGTTACTTGACCACTTTGGATAAAGTTACTGATTCGTTGTGAGTTCCTTGGTTTAGTGTTGTGTAAAGAGGTATGCTATTAACAACATTCATAAACTTTTTACCTCTTCCTACAGAAATTTCACAAAACAATATTTATCCTCACTGTATGTTTTGTGTTCCAATATTTTCTGTTCTGTTTTATTAAACAAAAATGCTGATCGTGATCCATTAAGTTAATTTCAGAATCCATTAATAGGTAGTTGCCTGCAGTTTGAAAAACACTGCAATGGAGCAACTAGTGGAAGATAGTTACTCATTAAATAAATTACCTTTCTTTTTTTTTTCCCTGCTTTTAATTCACATTGGTGAAGAGAACCACAGTGGGTGTGTTTGTGATTTTGTGTTTAAGGTGTCTTCTAGGAAAAACAGTAAACAGCACATATGTGGGCAAAGGAGTCCTAAGTTTCTGGTAGACTTGTCAACTCTCTGATCTCAACCAGGAGATACAGTGTTAGAATGAAACAGCTACAACAGCATTTTTTGTTTTAATCTCTGATTTATTTAAGAGCAACGCAATAGTAGGGGGAGGATAAGAAGAAAATTGGCTTCTGGATAAAAGAGGGCAGAATGTGCACCTGGTAGAATTTTTGTCTGTGCCGTGTGTACAAAGGTATATAGGGAAGGTACTGTTATCTTTATACTACTCTGACACCAAATGATCCTTGTATTACAGTGCCTGAGAAGTGAACCCAGTCAACTGTCAATTACTTAGCTCTGTCTACTTCATTGCCTCAGTACTTGTCTTTTAGAAATTCCACAAAAAAGTGGAAAAGAGAAAAAGAACTGTCAGTTTAGTCAATGTATTCTCTCTTGGTTAGAAACCCTAAAAATGCTACTAAGTAGAGAGGGATACAGTTTTAAAATTTCATTAGTGTTGAGCTAAAATCATACCTTACATTTATGTATTGCCTTAACAGTTTTGACATGCATTATTTGCATTGAGTCTCACAACAACCTAGTATGGTGGGCAGGCTGAGAGGCATTTTACAGATGAGGAATCTGTTTTTTTCCTTATTCCTGCTACCAAGATAAAAAAGTGGCAAATTCAGCACTAGAATCCAGATATTCTGGGACATTTTCTCCAGTTGTCTGTGTTGTCCATGTTGGTCTAAAGAAGCAGTAATGGAGAGTAAACAGTGTTAATGGGGCTAAGGAAACCCAACTTTGATAAAATGAAACCTTCCATTCTTCTCGGATCATATCCCAAGTATGCTATAATTAAATGCAAATACATCTTATTTTTAGTATTATTTTAATTCTTACACTTTTTGCCCTTCTATCCCAATTATTTTTTAAAAAAAGAAAAGAAAAAGTTAAATGTAGACAAATCTACTTAACAATGAACTAGGAAAATTGGAATGAAAGGTCTATTTAATGTCAAGAAATTCAGCTGAGCCCCCCTTTATTATAGCATCTCAATTAATTAGAATCTTGCTTAAACACTAACATTTTTAGATATTTCTTTAAAAGACTCATCATTTCTCTGTGTGAAATTAGTTTTACAATTCTAAAGTGTGCTTCTAAAATAGTTATTAACTTACTTTTAGACACAGGAAAAGCCCAGAGTCCACTTTACCCTTAACATCCTACCCTAAAGGATAACTTAAATTATTTCTTTTCATATGAATAAAAAAAATTAATACATTTTAATTTTTAATTTTTAGACGTCTGTGGAGTTGAAGAAAGCTCTGGAGCTCATCAGAGTGTATAACTGAAGAATGTGACGGCTGAAAACACTTTTAAAATGCTGAAGATTCAACAGTGTGTAGTAGCCAACAAACTACCTAGAAACAGGCCATATGTTTGCAATATTTGCTTCAAGCACTTTGAAACACCATCAAAATTAGCAAGGCATTATCTTATTCATACTGGTCAAAAGCCATTTGAATGTGAAGTGTGTCATAAAACTTTTAGGCAGCTAGTTCATTTGGAAAGACATCAATTAACTCATAATCTGCCTTTTAAATGTAGCATCTGTCAACGCCACTTTAAAAATCTGAAAACATTTGTGAAGCACCAGCAGCTTCACAATGAAACCTACCAGAGTGATGTTAAACAGGTCAGAAGGTTGGAGGCCAAGCAGGAGAAGCCAGTTTATGGAGTGTATCGGACTTTTGCCCCAGAGGAGAGATGGACGTTACATCCGTGCTCTAAACCTGATGCCACGTACAACCCTACAAAGAGAAGAAAGACCATTCACGCGTGCACAATCTGTGGCAAGATGTTCCCGTCACAATCAAAACTCGATAGGCATACACTTATTCATACTGGTCAGAGACCTTTTAAATGTGTCCTGTGCAGTAAATCTTTCCGACAGTCAACTCATTTAAAAATTCACCAACTCACACATTCGGAAGAAAGGCCTTTTCAATGTTGTTTTTGTCAAAAAGGATTTAAGATTCAAAGCAAACTTCTGAAGCATAAACAAATCCATACCAGGAATAAGACTTTTCAGACTCTTTCATTAAAGGTAAAGAGTCCAGAATCATGCCCACTGCCCAGTAAATTAAATGCAAAGCAGGATGGTTTTGAAAATGGTGATATGGGGGAATCTGAGGAGAATAGTCCACTCGATGTCCACTCTATTTATATAGTTCCTTTTCAGTGTCCAGAGTGTGAAGAATGTTTTGAATCAGAGCAGATCCTCAATGAACACAAGTGTTTTCCTGCCAGAGGTGGCAAAATTCCAAGCAGGCTCAAAAGAAGCTACAACTATAAAACCACTGTTAAAAAAATCCTGGCCAAGCTTAAACGTGCGGGGGGTAAGAAATTAGATAACTTTCGATCTGAGAAAAAAGTATTTAAAACCAGTTTCTTGAAAAATTGTGATCTTACTTCTGGTGAGCAGAGCTCTGAACAAACTCAGAAAACATTTATGGGTTCTCTTGGCAAATATGGAACATACAAGACAGTTGGCAATCAAAAGAAAAAAACATTGACTTTGCCATTTTCTTGGCAAAAGCAATTCCAGACCCAAAATGTAGGGAAAAATTTGAAAGGTGTCCTTACAACAGAAAGCATGTTAACTATGGATAGTTCAGTAAATAATAAAGACATGTCTGTCTATGGTTCATCAGGTGAGGAATTCTTTGATAACTGTGAAGTGCTTCAGTGTGGTTTTTCAGTTCCAAGTGAAAACATACATACTGGACATAAAACGTGTCCCTGTGACAAATGCGAGAAAGTATTTCCTTCTATATCCAAACTACAAAGACACTATTTAATTCACACCGGACAGAGGCCTTTTGGCTGTAATGTTTGTGGGAAATCTTTTAGACAGTCAGCTCATTTAAAAAGACATAAACTCACTCATATTGAAAAGATTCCTTATAGACGATCTCTTTGTCAAGTAGAATTTGAAAATTTGAACAAACTCTTCAATCGTCCGGGCGATAATGTTAACTGTAACGCTTTCCAACAATATCAGGCTCTTGGTTTCCACAAGTGTGAGGTCTCAGAGTCAGATCAAATGTCGGAAATAAAAGTGAAGGCAGAATCAGAGGATTTCCTTCTTGGTGCCCACTGTGGGAACCGACAGCCCTGTCTCTCAGGCACACGTCCGGAATCAGAGCAGAGGTGCTGTCGTCGTGGCCCCTCTTCAGGCCGTCCTGAGAGGAATGAAGGCCTTCTTTACCGATGCAGCGTTTGTTCGAAAAGTTTCAGGTCTCCGTCAAAACTGGAAAGACACTATCTAATTCACGCGGGGCAGAAGCCATTTGAATGCTCAGTATGTGGCAAAACATTCAGACAGGCTCCTCACTGGAAGAGACATCAACTCACTCACTGGAAAGAACGACCACAAGAGGAAATGGTTGTCCTGAATTCCGTCATGTAACTGACACAGTCACTAACACGTCTGTGGTCTGTGGGGATCTTGTTCTTGAAACCTGTATCATTTAAGGTGGATTCTTATCAAAACGCCTGCATTAGATTGAATGATTTCATAGGCAGTTGCTTGTCCTGCATGATAAGAAGATAATATACAGAAAATTAGTACAATTTTCTAGGGTTAGCCAAATTAATTTTTAGAGGGAAAACATGGTTTAATGCTGTAAAGTAAGCGTTTATTTTATTTGAATATTTTAAGCATATACTTGGGCTATATGGAAGTGTTATAAATCCATGATGCTGTATAAATGATTCAGCCTCATGCATTTTTTAAAAATTATAAGGCATGCCATCTCCTTTAAGATAGACTGAAAAGATTAAGAGGCAAAAATGGGCTCTTAGCTGCAGTAAATAACCCAACTGTATTTCATTTGTTTTACGCTTCACATGAAAGCATAATTTTGTCCACCTGTGGCTCAAATTCCAGTGCAGATTTTTTTTCTTGAGTTAAATAGAGATAATAAAAGTGAAAACGGATGAGAAAGTTATGCACTGTTTTCATTAGTGTCTTCAAAGCCGTTTATGGTTAGGACTTTGTGGTAGTTTCACCTCCTTTTCCCCAGGTAATGAGAATCGTTTGGGTCCCCTCCCCCCCCGCCCAAGCTGCTGTTTTTCCAAAAAGAATTAAAAGGAGGATAGAAGCCAGGATGTACCTATCTGTGTTTACCATATTCACTTGCTGGAACATTTTCCAAGTGCCATAATCTTGATAAGATGTGTGCAGTTTTATCTTCACAGAGGAGTAAATCATGTATTTACTTGCTAATTGTTGACAACCGTTTAGTTACAGACATAAGACTCACCTAGAGACCTGCATCCCCTTAAGACTTTTTTACATTTACTTTAGTAAAACATTTAATGCCTCTTTAATTGAGTGGTCCTATGACTTACCTAAGCCTATAATGTTAAGTTGGATCAAATAGCAATGGTCTAGTTTTTAGTTTCTATTCCTGTAATGCAAAAAAAAAGTTGTTTTGATCCTTATTAAAATTTTTTTAGTTAATAAGGTAATTATTCCTGTGTAGAAATAAGATGGTCATATTATTGAGGCTGTGGTTCTTCTGAACAGAACTGTCATGATATGGGAAGTAAGTCATTTAATCCTAAACTATAAAGGATTTATCTCACAATCACAAACTGTCCTTCACATTTGCCATTGTATATAAAATCTTTAACAACAATTTCTGGAAATAAATTAACAGTTATATTCCTACAAAAGGAAGAATAGATAAGTATTTATCCTGGCACACTTAAATACAGTGAAAAACCTATTGGGAATGTGGATAAATGAATAAAATTTGGGGGTGGGTGGGGAAATGTGTTTATTTCTTAATGCAAGTGAATTCTAAGTACCTTGGGTTTCACTTACAGAGATGAAAGATGACGATAAAGGTAAAATGTCCAATGGTGTGCAGATGTGCCTTTTTTTTTTTTAAGTATTCACATAGAGACATCTAGCTAAAGCAGAAGATAATTGGTAATTAATTATATGCTTTACAGAAGAATTTCTCGTAGGTTTTCTAGAAATACTGTCCTCCAGTGCAACAGGGTGATAGTTTACAGGATTTGCTTTATGCAGAAATTTCCAAAACACATCTGTTATATAAAAGCAAGAAGTGACTAGTTCATTTTCCCAAGGATGCTCACATAAATATTCAAGGGGTTTTTATTTTTAATATGTCTGAAATGATGTATTTGGGCATTTTCCTAAGCTATTTATGTAATTTTATTTGAAGGAAATGTCTTATATACTCCTTTTCCAAGTGACACAGGGAGAATTCTAACAGTGTTGTGCTTGTATGATTCTGAGATTTTATTTGCCTAAGTGATATTACTATACTTTTTTTTGTCTAAGCCTTTTTAAGCTGTTTCATATTGAAAGTTGGAATATTGTAAAAATTTTGTCAAAGATGTACTGTAGTGCTATTTGAGTACCTATAACAAAATACTTATTTACCTTTATTATCGCAAGCTTCTTGTGGAAACTTTATAGGAATGAAAATAAACTGTATACGTTCATATTAAGAAGATTAAACATTAGGTGTTAAGTAACGGTTTGCTGCATGTTAGCACTGTTAGTATTGCTGAATCAGTTCCCTGGGTATTCTTAAAGCATAAACTTTATCAACATCTTTAAAGAGAACTAGGAAAATGTTGTATTTGGGTGTCTCCAGGCCATAGCAGGATTGTTTACTACTATGATTGGCTGAGTTAGGGGAATTACCGTTTCTTGTTTTGTGCTGCAATAGGGCCTACCATTTTAGCGTGAAAATGTGTCTGTGTTAAAGGGTATTATAGATGGTGGTTAAATCCTTGAAAAATTCAAATTTCAGAATATTTTTAAAATAAAGTTTCAAGTTACACAGTTTGGATTTTTTCGTTGTTGTTAAGTGAAAAACCCTTGCCCCACATAATCCTGGGACAAGGTACTGATTGCCAGACATTTCCCCGGGCCCGCTTCAATCCATCTTCCACATTGAACTTCCTACAGGAAAATATTTTACTTCTTGCTTCAGATTACATTTCTTTGACAGTCTCTCATCACCTGCAAAAGAAGTACATAGAAGAGAGGCCTGTAATTGCAATGACCATTTGGTACCATGAGGGATGCTAGCGTGGGGATGAAGTTCAACACACACGACGGGCAGAGCCAAAGAATCATAGAAGAATGAAACAGGAACCCTGATCAAAATGCCGGAAGCACAACTTATCACTAGACTTTTAAATTCATTTTTAAAATAGATTTCCTTGTTTAAACCGATTTGAATTAATTTTTTTTTTTTTCTTGTAGCAACAACATCAAAATATCCCAGCTAGTAATGGCCACCAAAGGTCTCCTAATTGCCAAATCTCATGGTTTTTTTATTTCTTGTCCTTCAGATTTCTTGGAAGCATTTGACACTGTTGCCTTTTGAAACTCTTCTCTTTGACTCTGTTTCCTTTCCTTTATCCAACTTCCTTATTTATAAAACATAGCTTATAAAATAGAGGAAAACCATAAAATGCACATATTAGAAGTTTACGGGTATCAAAACCCATCAGTCAAAACCTTGGCTGAGAGAAGTGATATAATACATAGATAAATGGGTACATAGACAGGAAGAGATATTACTACCTTTCTCTACATTTTGCCATAAAACCACCAAACCAAAAAAAACAAAAAACCCTGTTTTCATCAAGTCGATTCCGACTCATAGTGACCCTATAGGACAGAGTAGAACTGCCCATAGAGTTTCCAACGAGCGGCTGCTGGATTTGAACTGCCAGCCTTTTGGTTAGCAGCCATAGCACTTAACCACTACACCACCAGGGTTTCCATAAATTCACTAGGTATTATAAATTAAAATCATTCACACAGTTCAATAGAAAGCTACATATATGATCTGGCTTAATATCCTCACTACCTCTTGGCCAAAAAATCATGAGATAAATTATGAATCTAATAAATATGTACACTGGCAAATAAACTGCTCATCAGCACCTGGATCTCCTGCTGCTGCCTCAGGCTGTCTCTATGGAAAGAAATGGAAGCATCTTTTCTCTTAAAACCTGTCATACTCTGTCTTCCCTATTGTGCTTTAAGGTTCCAGTATGCTTTCACTTATGTAGGGTGAATTTCTCTTTATTCTATCTTGTCAGTGTCTTCTGCATTTATTCCTTATGCTTCATTTTTACTGGCAAAACTCAAATTTCGGCCTTTTAAAAATGTTTGCCTTAGGTATGCAATAACCTCCAAGCTAGTTTTCCCATCCCCATGTTATCTACTCCAACCCATCAAACATACCACTAAGAAGTCATTTCCAAGCATACATTTCCAATCAATGACTTTCCACTGCCTTCCACAATAAATACAGTCTCCTTTCCCTAGCTTTCAAGGCTTTTGATACACCAAGCCTTATTGTTCACTAGCAGCATTCCCCAGCATGACCTGCTTCCCTGGCTTTATCTGTGCTGTGACTATACTAGAAATATTGTGTCAAAAGCTAACGTTTCAAAACTCATCATAAAAGCCATTTAGAAACTCTTATTTCACCGCCTGTTTTATATAAACTATAACTGGAAATAAAATGTCAATAGAAATTACTATATATACAAAATCTGTTGCATTTAAAATCGTGATCATTCATGTAAGTTTTTATCTCTAGCTGTGTAAACAAATGTTAGACAACCCCATGTAGAAGGTGCTAAAAAGGACTTTGCATTTAATCTCCAGATCTAAGACACTTTTTGTTTCTGTTTTCCTTCCCAATTATATGTTGCAAAATTGAAAAGTTACAAGAGTATAAAACATAAAATAAGTTCCCCTACTCCTGTCCTCTCTTCTCCCCAAGTCCTGTTTCCTAGAGGCAACAGTATTACCTGCTTCTTGTAGGTGTTCATCAAGGGAGAGTTTACTAGAGCTACATGTTTAACTTATGTAAGGATTTGGGAAGGGTGTACATTCCCCTTCAATATGTGTTCATTCAAAGTTAATAATAAGAAAGCAAGCAATCCAATTAAATATGGGTAAAAAATCTGAACAGAGACTTTCCCAAATGTATGGATGGCAAATAAGCGTAGGAAAAGATGTTCAACATCATTAGTCATTAGGGAAATGCAAACTAATGCAAAGCATTACACATCTTTTAGGATGGCTAAAATGACAAGTAGCTTATAGTTGGAATATATATTTACATCAAGGATATTAAGTTATCCCTGATGTTATATTTATAATTTCCATGCCACAAAACAGCCACCAGACTACAGTATCTGTAGATCTAAGCAAATCAAGCAACAGAAAAGAAGTGACTATATACTGAGCAGCCACCCATGCCAGGCGCTCTCAACACTTTCATATCTCCCAACAACCGAAAAATAGCTTCGTTAGCTCAATTTTCTAGTCAGAGAAACTGAGATTAAATAGTAAGTGATTTGTCCCGACATTACGTAAGTTATTAAGTGGCACAGTCGGCGTTTGAATTCAAGTCTGCCCAGTTTCAGATTCTGTGTTCTTCCTATTCTGACCTACTGCCCTTGATGATCATTCAGTATTCGACATTTCTGGTTTCACATGAGTTATAGGCTGAATAATAACACTTCATGGACAGCCGGCCACTCTGAAACAACTGTGTGAGGCCCTAGTGGACTTGCACAGGGCATTCTATTATCTTTATTTTCTAAACGCTTGGTAAATGTGAACAAAGTGTTTATGACTTATACTGTGGAGGGAATTCTCGATAACAAGATTCCTAGAATAATTTGCACAATATGCCTTAGTATTCTAGAAAATCCTATACAATGCATTCTAGGTCTGATCAAGATTGTTATAAACTCTTTTCAGCATGCATCGCCATTTATATTACATAATTTTTTGGAAACTTGAAAGGGTCTTAGGGCATGTTTAACTCAATCCTTGAGACAGCCCCCTTATATGAGAGTAAGAAAAAATCACATGATCACATAGCTAGTTAGCATTTAAACCAAGTAGCAGAAAATTTTTGTGACCTTGGGTTAGGCAAAGATTTGGTTTCTTAAATACAGCACCAAAAACACAATCCATAAAAGAAAAATTACTGATTAATTGAACTTCAAAATTAAGAATGTGCATGCTTTGAAAGGTACTGTTAAGAAAAGTTACAGACAGAGAGAAAGCATTTGCAAATCCATATCTGATACAGTACCTGCATCCAAATATATAAATAACTCTCAAAATTCAACAATATGAAAACAAGCAATCCAATTTAAAAAATGGGCCAAAAATCTGAACAGACATTTCTCCAAAAAAGATACAGGAATGACAAATTGAAATGGCACATGAAAGGATGCTTAACATCATCAGTCGTTGTTAGGTGCTATTGAGTCAGTTCAGAATGAAACACTGCCCGGTCCTGCTCCATCCTCGTAATTGTTGCTATGTGTGAGCCCATTGTTGTATCCACTGTGGCAGTCCATCTTGTTGAGGGTCTTCCTCTTTTTCACTGACCTGCTACCGAGTGTGATCATTAAGGTTGTGTGTCCACTTGGCTGGGCCATGATTCTCAGTGGTTTGGCAGTTATAATGTAGTTTGGCAGTCATATGATGCTATGATCACTTCCATGATGAGATATGATATAATGTGATCACCTCCATGAAGGGACCTGCTGTGAGTAGCCAATCAGTTGAAAGGGAGTTATGTTGGGGGTGTGGCCTGCATTGAATATAGGTGGACTTTGTGGCAAGGCTCTCAGGCTTTTGCTTGCACTGGATCCTGCAGCTGGCTCCTGTTTGTCTGACCTCCAGTTTTTGGGACTTGAGCTAGCAGCTTATCTGCCATCCTGCCTGCTGATCTTGGGATTTGTAGGTTTTCACAGCTTATGAACCAGAGCCTGGTTGTCTGACTTGCTGATCTTGGGTTTGCCAGCCCCTGCAGCTACATGAATCAGGAGAAGCCTCTATCCTAATCCACATTCCAGCCTCTACAACTGCATGAGCCATTTCCTTAATATAAATCTCTCTATATATATTTATTCACTTTACTGGTGTTGCTTCTCTACAGAACCCATCCTAAGACACCAAGCATGATGTCCTTCTACAGGGACTGGTCCATCCTGATAACATGTCCAAAGTATGTGAGATGAAGTTTCACTATCCTCACTTCCAAGGAGCATTCTGGCTGCACTTCTTCCAAGACAGACTTGTTCATTCTTCTGGAAGTCCATGGTATATTCAGTATTCTTTGCCAACACCATAATTCAAAGGCATCAATTCTTCTTTGATCTTCCTTATTTACTGTCCAGCTTTCACATGCATAGGAGGTGATTGAAAATATTACGGCTTGGGTCAGGTGCACCTTAGTCCTCAAAGTGACATCTTTGCTTTTTAACACTTTAAAGAAATCTTTTGCAGCAGATTTGCCCAATGCAATGCGTCTTTTGATTTCTTGACTGCTGCTTCCACGGGCATTGACTGTGGAGCCAAGTAAAATGAAATATTTGACAACTTCAATCTTTTCTCCATTTATTGCTTATTGGTCCAGTTGTAAGGATTTTTGTTTTATGTTGAGATGTAATCCATACTGAAGGCTGTAGTCTTTGATCTTAACCAGTAAGTGCTTCAAGTCCTCTTCACTTTCAGCAAGCAAGGTTGTGTCATCTGCGTATCACAGGTTGTTAATGAGTCTTCCTCCAATCCTGATGCTGTGTTCTTCTTCATATAGTCCGGCTTCTCGGATTATTTGCTTAGCATACAGATTGAATCAGTATGGTGAAAGAATACAACCCTGACCCACACCTTTCCTGATTTTAAACCATGCAGTGTCCCCTTGTTCTGTTTGAATGACTGCCTCTTGGTCTATGTACAGATTCCTCATGAGCACAATTAAGTGTTCTGGAATTCCTATTCTTTGCAATATTATCCATAATTTGTTATGATTCATACAGTTGACTGCCTTTGCATAGTCAATAAAACACAGGTAAACGTGTTTCTGGTATTCTCTGCTTTCGGCCAAGATCCATCTAACATCAGCAATGATATTCGTTATTCCACATCCTCTTCTGAATCCGGCTTGAATTTCTGGCAGTTCCCTGTCGCTGTATTGCTGCAACTGTTTCTGAATTATCTTCAGCAAAATTTTACTTGCAGATAACATTAGCCATTAAATCTGTTGCCATCAAGTTGATTCCAACAAATAGTGACCCTACAGGACAGAGTAGAACTGCCCCATAGGTTGGATTCAAACTGCTGACCTTTTGGTTAGTAGCCAAGTTCTTAACTACTGCACCACAAGGGCTCCACATCAGTCATTAGGAAAATGCAAATTAAAGCCACAATGAGATACATTACACACCTATTAGAATGACTTAAATGAAAGACTGACTACACCAAGCGTTAGTGAGAATGAGCAGGAACTAGAACTCTCATATGCTTCTGGTGTAAATGTAAAATGATAAACCACTCTGGAAAACTGGCAGTTTCTCAAAAAGTTAAACGTACATCTATCATATGACCCAGTCATTCCACTCCTTGGTACTTATTCAAGAGAAAAGGAAATATAAATCCACAAAAAGACTTATACACAAATGCCCATACAAGCTTTATTTGTAATTGCCCAACACTGGGAACAACCCAAATCGACAGATGCTTGGATTAACTGTGGTATATCCACACAAGGGAATACTACACAGATATAAAAAGGAATGAATTGTGGATGCATATAATATGGATGAACCTCAGAATCATTATGTTGAGTGAAAGAAGCCAGGAAAAAAGATTCATACTGTATAATTTCATTTACATAAAATTCTATAAGAAGCAAACTAATCTATACATCTATGACGACAGAAAATAGATCGGGGTTGCCCAGGAATGGGCTGGTGGGAGTGGTGAAAGGGAGGGATCGCAAAGGGGTATGAGGATACTTTTAGGGGCGTTGGATATACTCATTATCTTGACTGTAGTGATGGTTTCACCGATGTATGCATATGTCAAGATGTATCAAATTTTACACACTAAACATTTGCAGTTTATTGTATGTCAATTCATACCTTCATAAAGCTATAAAAAACAGTTAAAACTAAGCCCCCAGATGCCTAGTCTATGTTTTTTCCACTACAGCTCTCTTGAGGGTTGAATAAAACCTGGATTCCACTTGCTCCTTAACAAGGAGCAACCCACTCGCCCGGGCCCTCCCTGCGACCTCAATCCGGCCACCTTTGTGTCTTCTCTCTTCTGCCCATTAGGGGGCGGGGGCGGGGGAGGTCGAAGCCACTGTCCCTCTAGCTCAGACTCAACGCCGGCATGGACTTCCGGCCTCGTTCCCTTCCGCTTCCGGGGCAGTCCCCGCGCCGCCGTCCCTGCCCCCTCGTTCCCTGTGCGGTCCTGAGAGCTGAGCGTTGTCCCGCCGGTGGGGGCCCGCAGCGCTCTTCGGGGAAGTGCACGGGGGGTCACGGCTGCCCGGAGCTCGTGTTCACCGGAACCGAGGGCGAGTGCTGCCATGGCGACCCCTGCACAGCCCAAGAAAATCGTGGCTCCTACGGTGTCCCAAATTAACGCGGAGTTCGTGACCCAGGTGAGTGCGGGGCGAGTTTGCTGTCGGCCGGGGATGAAGGCCTCGGGGAACGGCTGGCGTTTTTCTCGGGACCGGGGGCTCCCGGGCGGTGTTCGCTCATCGGGTCATCCCTGGAGTCTTTGGGGAGTCTCTGCTGCGTGCCGGCCTCGGTGCTCCATGCTGGGGACGCCAGGGGGAGAGACCGCCCTGCTCTCAGGGAATTTAGACCCTGGAACGGGGACTTGGCCTGCAGAGAAGAAGGAACACCCGGGTCCCCCCGAGACTGGCCTACCGGCTCCGGGGTAGAGGCGATGCTGGACGGTTCTGCAGGGAGAACAGGCATCTTCCGGGCCGTCGAGTGACCTGGGTGTTGGAGGGAGGTGACAACAGTCTGATAAGACACCTGCCCCTTAAATCGATTAGTCTATGACGAGACGCATTTCACCGTCTGGAAACATTTATTTAGAACCTGCGTTGCATTGGGCATAGCTTCCAGCGTCATAGCAACATGCAAGGCACCACAGTCAGATGATTTTTTTATGCTACTGTATGCCCTTTTTGTCTTTCAGTAAAGTTTAGTTTGAAAAACCTGCGCTGTCATAGATGTACTAAGTGGAGAATGGAGAGCGTTGTTTTTGCTCTACGTGGGACGAGGGAGTATGGTGGAAGGCAGTGTGTTCCTAGAAGGAGTGATATTTGAGAGGTCACAGGTTAGACCCCAAGGAGGAGGAGAAACTCAGGGAGAAAGAAGAGATGTGCTAGATGCTTAATAAGTGTTTACTAGATCATCAGTCAAGTAGAGATGTACAGTAAGCAGTTTGGATCATAAGACAGAATTTGCATATTTATGTGGAAGTCCTTGAATCCATGACAACAGATCAGACTCAGTTCTGTTCAGGGTATGATAAAAGGAGATGACTGAGTTTGTGTGATGCCCTTAGGGGGCCGACAGAGGTATTGATACCACAGAATAATTGGAGGTGAGGTGAGGATTTTCTCTTGGGTTGGAGACTGATTGGTAATTTGAGAAGGTGTTGTTAAGTGGTCAATTAGTATAATGTTTTTGAGAAACTTTTTCTCAGTGTCAGTGTGCTAACTCTTGGGAGGCTATTTAAGTGTGTTCATTATGTTAGATGCTGAGCTATAGAAGCAAACAAGACATTGGTCCCACCTCTTCAACATTCCAGTTCAGTGGGCAACAAAGATGGGTAACCAATCAAATAATTATAATACAGAAAGATAAGTCTTTAGTGGAGTTATTTACAAAGTGAAGACAACAGAGAAGTGATTATTACCACCAAGTAGGGTTGAGGAAAGCCTCACAGAAAAGGTAACATTTTTTCTTTATTTCATTTATTCCTCCATCCATCCAAAGAACCCTGGTGGCACAGTGGTTAAGTGCTCGGCTACTAAATGAAAGGTCGGTGATTCGAACCACAACCCCTCCGTAGGAAAAAGACATAGCAGTCTGCTTCCGTAAAGTCTTATAGGCTTGGAAACTCTATGGGGCAGTTGTACTCTGTCCTGTAGGGTCACTATGAGTCAGAGTCGATTCGACGGCAGTGGGTTTAGTTTTTTGGTTTACCCATCTATCCATCAGATATTATTTGAGTGCCTCCAGTGTGCCAGGTACTGTAGTCAGCTTTTTATAAATATACTAATGAATCTTTGTGCTTGCCAGTTTTCCATTTTTTAGGAGATTGTTTAGTTTAAAAAAATAAATCAACAAAGCCATGTCATTTCTTAAATATTATACAATCCATCTAAGTATCTGGAGACATTGTATATAGGTATTTAACATTGACTGTTTCCAGGTAAAACCCAATCTGATGAAATATACCAACTCCTTTATTCTCTGTACTAACCGGCTGATAGACGACAGTTTTTTTAGGTTTTATTTATGGGTGTGGGGGTGTGTGCACTAATCATTTAAAGGTTTGTTGTGTCACACATCAGTATTCATGAAGATTTTGGATCTGGTTTTCAGTGCTGGCTCAACTGTTGCTTGTAATCTTGGACAGTTTATTAATCTTCTGGACCCGGGCTTTCTTAGAACCATGCTGAGGATGTTTGACTGTTACTGTTACCAGGCCATACTGCTGTCCTAGGAGCGATTGGAAAAATACGTTTTGTTTTTGTTTTTATCACATTGTGTGTGGGGGTGGGGGGGAGAGTGCAGAGTACCACTGGCATTTAGTTGGTTGGGGCAAGGATGCTAACTATCCTGCATGTCCATTCATTTGCCCCAGAAGGAAGAATTACTCTGTCCTCAGCGCCAGTAGCACATGGTTAGAAACAGCTGGTCACTAAATGATCTTAGTCTTCCAGCTCTGCAGTGGTATGAATCTGTGATTTACGGTTTATACTCTTTACTTTGCAGTTGGCTTGTAAATACTGGGCTCCCCACATCAAAAAGAAATCACCTTTTGATATAAAAGTAAGTATTGTTTTGTTTACAACATACTTTTTGAACAGGTATGCCTTTTGTATCTTTTTTTAAGGGTTAATTCACAAAAGCTTTCCATAATTTTTTTAAAAAGTTAAAAATACAGTTTTCTGATTATCAAACCAATAATAATTCGCGTTAGAAAATAAAAATCACCACTTGGAGATAACCTTGATTATCATTTTGTTGTATTTCCTTTAAGCTTTTTAAAAATGCATGTATATAATTTATTTAACCATTTTCCTCTCTATAGAGTCTTATCAGTATAATTTATCATTACTATATTTGGCCATGTATGAAGATCTTTATAAATGTACAGAAGTTTTCATACTCATTTTTGACAGTTCATTTGAATTGAATTGTGATGCTTTTGACACCCTTGGTAAAACTGAGCTTCTTAACCCAAACGTTCTTCTGTTATTTGAGATTGAGTGTTTTGTTTATTTTTGTTTTGCTGGTTAATCCCATTGTAGTATTCATTAAGAAGATGTTCTTGAGCATGACATACGTGAGTCTTCATCATCAGCAGGATTATTCTCTCTTATTGTATGCTGTTTATATTTATTTGTGTTTGTGTGTGTGGGGTCATTTTTCATTAATAACAAAATATCCCAATGCACTATCAGATTGCATTAAACCTTATTGGGTAAGGTTTTTAGAGCTTAAACTCATATCCAGATCATTTTAGTAGTGCTACTAGTGATAATTCTAGACAAAGCTATGTATGACTGTTCAGAAGAACTTTATGATGCATTGGTATTTAAAGAGAACCATGCCCTCTGGTAAGGAGTCCTGGTAGCGCAGTAGCTAAGTGCTTGGCTGCTAACAGAAAGGTTGGTGGTTTGAACCCACCAGCTGCTTCACAGGAGAAAGATGTGGCAGTCTGCTTCCGTAAAGATTACAGCCTTGCGGGGGTCTGGGGACCATGCTTTCAGGGGACATGTTGGTCAATTGGCATAACAAAGTTTAAGAAAATGTTCTGCATCGTAGTTAGGTGAGTGACGTCTGGGGTCTTAAAAGCTAGCGAGTGGCCATCTAAGATGCATCAGTTGGTCCCAACCACCTGGAGTAAAGGAGAATGAAGAACACCGAAGACACAAGGAAAGTATTAGTCCAAGAGACAGAAACGGCCACATAAACTTGAGACTTCATCAGCCTGAGACCAGAAGAACTAGATGGTGTCTGGCTACCACCAATGACCGCCCTGACAGGGAACACAACAGAGAGTCCCTGATGGAGCAGGAGAAAGGTGGAGTGCAGAACTCAAATTCTAGTAAAAAGACCAGACCTAATGGTCTGACTGAGACTGGAGGAGCCCCGGAAAGCATGGCCCCTGGACTCTCTGTTAGCCCAGAACTAAAACAGTTCCCAAGGCCAACTCTTCAGACAAAGATTGGACTGGACTGTGGGACATAAAATGATACTCGTCAAGAGTGTGCTTCTTAGCTCAAGTAGATACATGAGACTAAATGGGCAGCTTCTTCCTGGAGGTGAGATGAGAAGACAGAGAGGTTTAGGAGCTGGTTGAATGGACACGGGAAATCGGGGTGGAAAGGAGGAGTGTGCTGTCACAGTACAGGGAGAGCAATTAGGGTCACATAACAATGTGTGTATAAATTTTTGTATGAGAGACTAACTTGAAATGTAAACTTTCATTTAAACTACAACAATAAACAACAACAAAAAAAGAGATTCCAGCCTTGGAAACCCTCTGGGGCAGTTCTGCTCTGTCCTGTAGGTTCACTATGAGTCAGAAAGTTTCGACAGCAGTGGGTTTTGGTTATGCCCTTTGTTTTATCGTTTAATTTGATTTTTGATAAAAAGAAAAGCAGTGACAGAAAATTTTATCTAGATTGAACCAGACTTGCTTTCCTCATCTCCTCCTGCTACCACCCACAAACATTTATTTGACAAATAGACTTTGAGGAGTTAAAATATATTACTGTATACCATAAAATAATAATATGACACGTTAAAGCACTTCATAATTTTACAGGAGACTTTTTAAAGTACTGTGGTGGCACGGTGGTTAAGAGCTAGGCTGCTAACCAAAAGGTCGGCTGTTCGAATCCACCAGCTGCTCCTCAGAAACCCTATGAGGCAGTTCTGCTCTTTCCTGTTGTGTCGCTCTGAGTGAGAATCGGCTCGATGGCAATGGGTTTGGTTTTTATTATCACTAGTACTACTGTTACTTCTATTACTACTAGTAACTATTATTGAAGGCTTATTATGTATCAGGCTTTGTACTAAAGTCTTCAGATATATCGTCTTATGCATGTGGGGTAGTGTGTAGTATTAGATCCATTTTGTGGATTGGGAAACTGAGCCTTAGAGAGATCAGACGCTTGCCTGAATTTCCTGGCCAGCAGCACTGGAAGTGGATGATTTGAACCAGGCTTCCAACTCCAGAACCTGAATTCTTAAGTATTACACCATCCTGCCTGTCCTAACTCAAATGAGTGGAAGTTCTGAGGCTTTATCATATGCATTTGGATAACAGGATGTAATGATTAGTATTTTCTTCTCTTATTTCTCCATACTTTAATTTACTTTTTGTCTACTTTTTAAAAGCAGGTTAATATCACTTTTAGGTAGAATGTAATAACATTTATGCACTTTAAAGTTAAGTTTTTAAAAATATTCTAATCTTGTTTTTATTTTCGTTAAAATTGTTACAAACACATCATTTTAATGATTATTTTTAGGACTCTATGTAGATATATTTTATTATTTGTCTTTTTCTACTCCTTTGCTTTCTGTTACTTCACATTTTGAGTAATATAGTGGGATTATGTATTATATATTTTGTATATGTGTATAAAACTCTTTGATATTGTTTCAATAGCAGTAATTTTTGATAGTTTTCCTAAACGAGAATATTCTCTGTAATCTTAGTAATTTAAAACCATCAATTTAGGGTCTAAAAAAAATTGAGATTTTAAACATTTTTATATTTTTAATAACAGGTCATTGAAGATATATATGAGAAAGAAATTGTTAAATCAAGGTAGGAACACATTTGTTTTATGTTGAGATTGGGGTGGGCTAAAATGGGATTTGTGTGAACTTCTAAACTTAATGTGTCTATAACTTGGAACCTTTTTTTTTCTTCTTTTTTTCAGTTGGTTATCAGGGAGATGGTGGCTAGAAAAAGTTTATATCTAGGTGCTAAAGGGTCTTAAGTTATTTCTCTGCTTTCTAATTATTGGCTCAGACTAGCAGGATTAAATTCTGTAGGATATATTTGGTTTTTGAAAGAATGTTTATTTCTATTCAGACAACGCTAATATTCTTATAATTTTCTGGTAAATCTTTTTTAAAAGATTGTTTCAAAAAGCATGAAAGTGAGATATACATAATAACAATAAACAAAATATAAAATAAAATGTATTTTATATATGACATATAAAATGTATATAAAATAATAAAATAAATAATAAAAGTTAGTGTAGAGCAAAAAAATAGAAGGGATTAAGTTTCCCTTAGTCTGATTTATTTATCGAGGTCCATCTGTTCCTCACCACCCTCCCCTTCTCCCCCTACCTCTTGTTTTTTTAAACACCAGTGGGTTTATACTGTACGTACCATACTGCATCATGCTTTTTTTTTTAATTTTACAATGTATCTTGGGCCTCCATTCCTATCTGCACCTATAGACGTATACCAAGTGAGTATTTTATAGACTAAATTGACTGAATGTTTTTAAAATTTATTGTACTTTAGATAAAGGTTTACAGAACAAACTAGCTTCTCATTAAACACTTAGTACACATATTTTTTTGTGACATTGGTTGCCAACCCCACGACATGCTAACATCTCTCCTTGGGTTCCCTATTACCAGCTTTCCTGTCCCCTCCTGCCTTCTGGTAAATGACTAAATGTTTTAATATGAAATAGAAACATTTATGTTATGAATGTTACAGACTTTATAAAATCTCAGATTTGATACTTTTCTGTGTTAGACTCTGCTGTTAAATATTGTGAAGGCAAGTCAATGACAGTGTCAAAATGGGAGACTAGTTATTTATTTTGTTTTGTTTTAATGATTAATTTATGAGCCTGTGGAGGTAGGCTGGGCCAAAGGCCATGTTAAGGATTTTGTTCTTTATTTGAAGAGCAGTATTAAGTCAGTGAGTTGTTATAACCATGATGGTGATATTTTAAAAAGAGAGTTTAAAAGATGACAAGAAGCGGGAAATTAGTTGAGTGGGTATTGTAGTCATCAGGTTCAGGATAATGTTGGCTTGAACTGGTATGGAGTGGAGAGTTGGGATGGAGAGAAGCTGCCGGATTTGACGGAGGTAGAAGTGAAGAGACTTGATGGTTGAATGTGGTGGATTAGGGAATCGGAGGAGTTCAGGATGATCCTGAAGTTTCTGGCTTTACTGGTAGATGGTGCCATTGTTAGATGATCACTTGTGCCATTATTGATTTTGGTTGTTGTTGTTGGGGGTGGAATTGGAGGTAGATCATTAGTTCACTTACGGATATGTTGAAATCTAAGTGAGTAAGTAGTTGGGTATCTGGGTATAGAGCTCAGAAGAGAGGACTGGGTTGTATCAACCACCATTTAGTTGCTAAGGGTGCAACAGTGAACACAGCAGATAAAGTCCCTACCCTCATGGAGCTTACCTTCTGGTAGGGGGAGACAGACAAGCAACATGGAGATAAGATGTAAGGAGGCATTAAGTGCTGTGAATTTAAATAAAGTGTGATTGGGAGGATAGTGACAAAGGCACTTTTTGGATTTTAGGTGGGATGGTCAGGCAAGTCCTCTCTGTAGAGATACCATTTGAGCAGATACATGACATACGACGTCATGTTGGTCTGAGGGTGGGGGTTGATGAAATTGCCTGAGGAGACATAACTGAAAATGAGCGAGTAGATAAAGTCTAGGATCCTTTTTTCTTTTTTACCAAGGAGTGTTAAGGAGTGAAACATGACCACATCTTTCTCCTGCAGAGAGGCTGGTAGGTGCAAACCACCGACCTGACCTTTGAGTTAGCAGCTGAGTGCTTAACCACTGTGCCACCAGGGCCCCTTAAGGATATATTAACCTGAAAATTATCGTGAACCTTCAGAACTACTTCTCTGCCTCTTTTCAGAAGGCTTTTCCTCCAGAGGATCGTAATCGCTTTTTTATTTTATTTTATTTTTTCCATTTAAACCCTTGCTACTAAGATTTGTTCCTAAAAATAATTTTTGTTACAAAATAAATAAAAGTTGCCGGTGTTTTTAAAGCCCTGTAGCCTTGGTTACATTGTTTTTAACTGCTGAAAAAAGTAAACATCACTGGGCGGCTTCCTGTGATTTATCGCAGTGCTCGTAGCCATTTTCTCGTCCTTAGGTATTTTGAATACTTGAGCTGATTGCAGTCTGCTCCCAGATCTCAAAGTTTAATGCACTTCTATAACACATAAAATGTAGTGTGTACTTAAAAATTTAAATGACAATTTTTAGACTACTGGATAAAGAAGCTGTTTTGCAGAGTTATCTGCTTCTAGCATCTTTGGTATTGGTGGAATGGTTTGATGTAAGATTTATTAAATTGTTTCTAAACTCTCAAAGTAGGCAGTGTATAACCGTAGGTACTGTTAATAGTATACGTTAAGGTATTGGTAATAGACTTTTTTTTCACATCAATCCTATTTCTCCAGGAGGCATTCCAGGAAATACGTTAAATCAGTTCTTAATATTCTTCTGCTATAAATGATCACTTCTGGGATCTCAAAATTAGATGAGATCTTAAAAGATTATGTTACCCAGTCACCCATGTCATGTGTGGCATGTTATATAATTAATTCATATTTACTGTCCTTGCCATTATCAGATTTGGCAAGCTTTTCTTAAGTATTTTAATCTAAGTTTGATTTTAAAATATTAAAAAAAAATTGATATTGTTGAGTGCTTACTATGTGTTGGAGCCCTGGTGGTGTGTTGGTTAAGAGCTCGTCTGCTAACCAAAAGGTCCGCAGTTCAAATCTACCACTCCTTAGAAGCCCTAGGGGGCAGTTGTACTCTGCCCTGTAGAGTCCTTGTGAGTTGCAGTCAACTCGATGGCAAAGGGTTTAGTTTTTTGGTTGGTGTCACGGATTGAATTGTGTCCCCCCAAAATGTGTGTCAACTTGAGTAGGCCATGATTCCCAATATTGTGTGATTGTCCACCATTTTGTCATCTGATGTGATTTTCCTATGTGTTATAAGTCCTGCCTTTATGATGTTAATGAGGTGGGATTAACAGCAGTTATGTTAATGAGGCAGGACTCAATCTCCAAGATTAGGTTGTGTATTAAGCCTGTCTCTTTTGAGATACAAAAGGTAGAAGCGAGCAGAGAGACAGTAGGACCTCATACCACCAAGAAACAAGAGCCAGGAGAATAGTGCCTCCTGTGGATCTGAGGTCCCTGTGCTGAGAAGCTTCTAGTCCAGGGGAAGATTGATGACAAGGACCTTCCTCCAGAACTGACAGAGGGAGAAAGCCTTGCCCTGGAGCTGACGCCCTGAATTTGGACTTACTAGCCTCCTAGACTGTGAGAGAGTAAACTTCTGTTTGTTTAAGTCATCCACTTGTATTTCTGTTATAGCAGCACGAGGTAACTAAGATGGTTGGTTACTATGTGCCAGCTTTTATTCTAAGCAGTTTGCACTTATTAACACATTTATCTTCACAACAGCCCCATGAAATAGTCATTTTAGGCACGAGGAACTCGAGATACGGAGAGATTAAGTAACTTGCCCAGGACGTTGCCCAGCAAGTAGCGGCATTGTTGTGATGGTTAGCTGCCATCCAGTGGATTTGGACTCATGGCAACCCCATATGTGCAGAGTAGAACTCACCATAGGGTTTTCAAGGCCATGACTTTTCCAAAGCAGATTTCCAGGGCTGTCTTCCAAGCCTTTGGGTGGGTTTGAACCACAAACCTTTCAGCTAGTAGCCGAGCACTTAACCATTTGCACCACCCAGGGACTGGTTTTCTGGCTCTTACCCAATACTTTGTTCTTAAATAGGACAGGATCCATTGCCATCCAGAAATGTCTTAGCCTGCACCTTTTGGTATGATTATTTTTTCCTGTTACGGAGTCACCCAGGTGGTTTTTATGCCTAAAAGAGAAGGTTGATGCTCTTATAGAGCAATTTACTTTTGCCAAAGTATATTTATTTTTATTCAAAACGCTTTTATCCTTTTATTTTGAAATATAACTCAGAAAAGGGCTGAAAACAGAAGTGTATCGCTTTTATTATAAGACAAACACGTGTGAACTCACCACCCAGGTAAAAACAGTAGCACACTGCCAGCGTTCCAGAAGTGCCCACTTGCCCCTTTTCTTTAACGGTCTCACATACACGTAACTGTGCAAACATGAGCACTGTAGTTGAGTTCTGCTTGTTTTTGAACTTTGAAGAAATGGAATCCCACAGCGTGTACTCTTTTGTGGCTGGTGTCCTTTGTTTACTGCTGTGGTTTTTTAACAGTGCATTTGGAGGTGGGTAGTTTAAAGTTTATGTCAGGCCTTGTCAGCTTCGCAGCAGATTTTCTGGCTTTTCCTGTGTGGCTGAAGGGACAGTGTCAGCTCCAGACCTCGCGTTTCTCACATAACCGCATCTCAGGAGAGGGAGTGGGGGCCAGTCATGGCCGCAGTACAACTCCACTTTGCATGCCCCCTCTTTTTTTCTTGTCAAGTTTAATGATGCGGTTAATAGACGCAGCTTATTGGACATAATTGAACTTTCAGAGGTTTAGCAAAATGCAGGTTAAGTCCTTGGCACGGTGTCTGGCACAAAGCAAGCACTGAGTAATTGATAATTTAAAAAAAAATAGCCGTCCAAAAATCCTTCAAAACATTTCTATTTGTCTCCTATATTATCACTTACAGATTTTATACTTATCTTTAAAGTTCTTCTGTCATGATTTCTAGTCCCTAGACCATTTTTATGTCTTTATATGCATACCTTTAGCTAAGCTATCCACTGTAATTGTCTCCGAGTGCTTTGGCAGAAGCATAAAACACCAGATGGAATGAATGAATACCACTGAGATTGTTAGAAGAGAAACAGAGTGTTTTTCAGAGTGTTGTTCCTTTATCTTGACTTATTTTTTCACTTATCTGATCACCCAAGAAGAGCTGACTGCTCTAGCTCTTTACTTCATATGTGGGAAGCCTAGTCCCAGAATGTTAAAAACTCAGGACCAGAATCCTGGTGTATTTCATGAGCCAAGTTTTTCTCTCCTTCATTATGCAGTCCTATTTGTGACTAACAGAGTTTTTCAAAAGAAATATATTAATCATGTTTAGTAAAAATTTCCATAATAAATTCTCATATAATCTCAGGAATTGGAAAAACTATTAACTATATTGAACCAGAGTCTGAAAAATTAATTATCTATGTGAAAGCATGCGGAATTTAAGCATTGTTTAAGTCAAAAGTCTTCATTTCCTAAGGTACTATTCTTTTATTAATGTTAGTTATAATAATTAATGTTAATCTAATTTTTGTTTCATTTATTTATTGAGGGCCTATTTTTATTTTTATTATTATTTTTTTAACAGGGAAAATTAGGTATTGTAAAACGTAATAAAGATGGGAGGCCAGGCTTTGTGAAGAAGGTAACATTTGAAAGGTAGTTCTCTTACAGCAGTAGAATGAAACCTTAACACAAACAGGCAAGTAAAAAGTGTTCAGAAATAGTCTAGGCAAGAAATTATGATCATTGTAAATTTCTTTGATGGTAAAGTACTCATTCCTTTTTTCCTTAATTTCTTTAATCATAAAAACTTTGCTCAGCCTTACAAATTGTCTGACAGTACACAGGAGACTTAGTACAAAAAAGGAATGTAATGTATCTTAATTTTTGAAACTTGATTACATGTGGAAATAATACAGTAAACCTGTGAAAGCCAGAACCTGTGTAAGGTGGAAACATGTCAGAGATGGGAAACTCAAATATTTCCCAGTAAAACGAGTGATAGTAAAGTGGTAAAACTGTACCCGGTCAAATGTGGAAAACTTGCAGGACTCGGAAAAACAAGGCAGGCCCATCGAGTTCTGACTCACACAGGCTTCGCTGTATTTCGGATTTACTTGAGAAATTGAAACAAAACAAATTCAAGCAACTTTCAGTAACCGTGTACTCTGTCTTAGCAGTCTGTGGGGTGTAGTGCTGTATTAGGAAAAAGAAGCTTGTCGTAAGATCCCTTAAGCCATTCTGGGGACAGTGGGCATTGAGTGAATAGTGTTGTTAACATGCAGTTGAAGTGAAATGTCTGCAGCGAGAGACAGAGGGTGTGTCGCTGAAGATGTCATATCCGCTGTGGGGCCCGGCTGACTGTAGGAGCCCGTACCTTGGGAGTGTTCTGTCTTCGTGCTTTTGCACAGTAAAAACCTTCATTTGATTCTCACTAGTGTTCTGGAACATTTGCTTTCTCAGTGAAACTATTTAAGAGATCAGAAATCAGTGGAACAGAATTTTGACAGGATGATGGTCTCCTGGGGTAGTATAAATTCATAATGCCTACGTGTTTAATTTTTAAAGCTGGAGACCATTATCTAGTTGCTGTGTTCTGGTCTGGCTACTTTATTTCTAGTATTCAAAATGATAAAACTAAATTAATGGACATTTGAACCTGCCTTTGGAGAGATACCCCATGACTATAGCATCATTCAGTCATATAAAAACAAAGTAGTTCTACTAAAGAAGACAGTGTAGTTGAGTGAAACATCTTTATTCCCTTTATGATTTTCTAATATTTTAGGTTCGGTACTGAGACTAAGAGCCATGTAAAAATTCTGATTCTCACATTTGCAATATACACATGTCCCAAGTGCTTTTAGAAGAGTATGGCTCTTTAGCAGAATGTTTCATTTGAATATTAAATGAAAAAATGTTGGCCAGTGCTTAAGAAGTTGTAACAGGCTAGCTTCTGACAGTTGTGATCTTATGTTATGAATATTGATGAACATTTGTGTTTTGATTTAAATTATTTTGGCTTATTAATCTATGGGTTTGTTTTCTCAGTATGTAATGGCACTGACTGTGTTTGTTACATGGTAGGATATGATTGCACATGTAAATGTTCTTGGGTAATTTTAAAAATAAAATAAACCAGCCTGAAACAAAATAGAAACAAAAAAATCGAAAGCAAAATTAGCTTATTTTCAGTGCATATTAGAACATGCTTATTCTCATATGTGACTTCATATTAAAACCAAAGATTTTCAAATGGCATTTGCATTAATAACTGAAATATATATATGCTGTTGAAATAATTTTGTTACTTTTACACTTTTAGGTTTGCCATCAGAAAGATAATGCTTCTGGAATTTAGGTGAGTTGAAAGGCTTTTCTATGATGAAGATAAACATGACAATGTAATTTAACTTTTAGCTATATTTTCTGAATAATTTTGAGAGTAGTTAAGAAAATAATGCTAAATTTGTGAAGATTAGTATTTTTGTGATTGGCTTATTTTGGAATATGTATATGATATCCTTCGTCTTCAAAGATGACGCCTTGTTGTCAGTATAACTGGTATTTGGAGTTGTTCCTCATTAGTTAATGTACCGTGTGCTGAGCAGTTTCTGAACTCTTACTTGAATTCTCTAGTGATCAATGGCATTAATTTGGAGTGAAATCTGTAGCTTTTTTTTTTTTTTTCCTCTGCCAGGCTAAATTGTCAGTTGGAGATTACCCACATAGCCTTATTCTGTCCTTGCCACTGATAATATAAATATCCCAGACAGAAGAGAATTCATACACTGTTTTTCTATCATGAAACTAGGTGTGTCTGGTAGACTGAAAATAAAAGCCCAGGTTGTTGTGGATAATAGTAGCATTTACTGTTTATTGAACACTTGCTTTGTGCTAGGCACATTATTAGGCATTTTACATACAGAGTACTCACAGCAACCCTGAAAAGTATTATCCTCACCATTTAGTGGAAGAAGAAACTGAGATCAGAAAGATTAAGTAGTTTGCTCAGGATAATACAGTTCGGTAATTGGCAGATCTTGTATGCCAATGTCTGATGCCCAAAAGACAGATTATTCAAAGAGGAAGGACAAATTGATTGTACACTTTTCAATTATAGTAATAGAAAAGGTAATGGAGTGAGACTAGTACATGATTTTTCAGCTTTTCCACACTGTCTTGAGATCTGGTCTTCGTCAAAGGTCAGAGCCACTATATTAACAGCTGTTACTCCCTACATAACTCTGATTTAAACTTAACAAAAATGGCTAAAGTAGGTGGTTGTATCATTTTTACAAAGGGGGAAATTAAAGTTCATAGTTGAATGTCTTCTATATCCAAAGAACTATGTTATATACTTTAAATACACGATATCACTTAATACGCACAATAATCCTAAGAAGTTCTCCCTTATTTTAGAGAGGAGAAAACTGAGGCTAGAAATTGGACCTATTGGGCCCCTAAACAAATATACACTTTCCACCATATCATGCCTTCTTTCAAGAAGAGAGATAAAAATCAAGAGGATACTGATATAAAATTGAGATAAAATCCTAGAGTCTTGGCAAATATCAGAAACCAGGAGAATTGTAGAAGGGAAGGAGAAGGCAACAGAACAGATGGAAGGCATCAATGACAGTGAAAGACTTTAATAACTGAAAAAGTGGATTTTTACCTTTCAGGAACTTTCATGCGATTTCTTCTGGGAATGCCGTTTTCTCTGTGCCAGGCTCCAGATGTAACTAGTCTAAAGTTTGTAGTAGAGATAATTGATGGTCTGTGGCTGATGGAAAGTGAGATGACATGGAGAGAAGGTGGTTGGGTACAGGAGAGTGATCTGAGAAAACAAATGGTTTCTGCTGATGAAAGTCAGTGGAGGGAGATGTTGTGTTATCTGAATTCCATTTGCTGCAGTTACCTGAAATAGGATCAGGGAGGTATTGAATAAATCCTTGAATTGGGAGGAAAGAGATGTAGTTTGGGGTAGGAATCATAACTGTCCTCTTGGGCAAGTCATTAACTTTCACTCCTTCAGTTTCCTCAACAGAAGAACTGTAAGAATAGGTTTGGAGCTTCGCTGTGTAGTTGGGTAATACCAAGATAAGACATTACTATTAAAAATTCTGGCAAGCCAGTGATATCTCTGAAGCATCTGGCAGAAACGAATATAAAAATACTCTGGAAGGATATGTATTCCAACTATACTGCAAATAATTACTATAGATAAAACTCTGGTGAAGGTGAAGTCACACTTCCAAGTTACAAAACACATTAGAGTAAAAATCCACTCTAAGCAAAGAATTGGTTGAAAAAACAACAAACAGAATTAGATCCCTCCCAAGAAGTTCAGATGATTAAATAATTGATATACTGTCAAATCATGTTTAAAATTATTATGGCATAAAAGAAGAAATAAATATGTGAGCAAGATAAAAGACACTAATAAAGAAGGACAAATTTAAAAAAAATGGAAATCAAAATTCATTAAAAGTAAAACAATTCAAAGAGCAAGTTAAATAATAGATTAGATACAGCTAAAGAGAGAATTGGTGAACTGGAAGATAGAGCTGAGGACATTAACTAGAACATAGCAAACAGAAATAGAAATGAAAAATAGAAAAGGGGTTAAAGAATATGGTGGCTACAGGGAGAGATCCAATAGGAGTTCCAGAAGAGAGAGAGAAAGAATAAAAGAGAGGAAGCTTAGAAAAGATGATGGTCAAGAATTGATGAAGCACTTGAATCTTTTCGATTCAGGAATTACAGCAAATCCTGAACAGAGCAACCCCCAGAGCAATAAAGACAGGTTGAAGATCTTAAAATCTGCTAGAGAGAAAAGATTACTCAAAAGAGGGAAGGACAAATTGAGTTTACACTTTTCAGTTATAATAATAGAAAAGATGATAGAGTGAGACTAGTACAGAGATTTAAAAACAAATCACTTGTAAACTAGAATTCTGCACCTGGCTAAACGGTTGTGAAATAACACAATTTCAGGTGAAGATAGATTAACGTTACCAGACTTACTGACAGACATTCTAAAACACATAATTCAGGAAGAAGGAATTTACATTCTTAAGGGAAGAATGAAATGAAGCTTTGTACATTTTATTTATGAAAGAGTACTCTAGTGTCATTTGGAGCATTTTGACCATTATTTTGTGCAAAATCTTATTTATCTAGTTTCCTAGGTTGCTTCAGATTGCAAGAAGGATTGTCAGTGATAGACCCAGGAAATGCCAGTGAGAGTAGGCCCTTGAATCATAAGGGGAAGTAGAAAAACTATAGTACTGTAGCAGTTTCTAAAATGCTTAACAGTTCGTGTGTATGAGTGTGTGTGTGTGTGTGTGTGTGTGTGTGTGCGCTTAAAAGATTATGCGTGGGGTAATTTAGAGTAGGAACAAAAAGTCTTGCTTTTTCTATTAGCACTCGGGAGTATTATACAGCCAAGTACAGTAATTGATGTTTATAACTATCCTGAATCGTAAGAAATGGCTAAGATATGTTTTGGAAATTGGAAATACTTAAATTTGTTTAGAGGTATTTTCACCAAAGTCTTAAAATTCGAATTTTGGCACCTTGAAGGGAAAATACTAATGTCTTGAAAACTTATTTATGTTGAATACCTTGTAAATTAAGTATTGAAAGCTTCTTTTTGATTCAGTCTCTTAGTGTCTGGAACTCTTTTGGTCCTGATGTGAGTTAATGTCTCAGATACATTTTATCTCTGAAGGTACTCATCATTTCATTTTGTTTTAGAGCTGTTATTTATCAGGTATTTTTGTTTTTTCACTTCGCGAAGAGCCTTAGGTAAGGAAATATCCCGTGGTGTGGTGGTGATCATCCTGTATGTCACTGACCTTTGATGTCTCCCTAGTTGAGAGTATAAAACTCTCATTTTATAAAGCTACATTTTCTGCAAGTCAGTTTGTAGGAGGTAGCAGTGAGCTAGATGACAGGTAAATTTGTGAAGTGTTCTCAAATAATAAATATCAGCTTTTACAATGTTTTCAGAAAGTTTTGCATAAGTACATTTCCAGGTGAGTGACACATTGCAATGGGTGGTGGTAACTAATGAATATTCTGTGCCTTTTCACTCTTCACAGCCAATATCTTGAAAATTACCTCTGGATGAATTATTCTCCAGAGGTGTCCAGCAAGGCCTATTTAATGTCAATCTGCTGTATGGTGAATGAGAAGTTCAGAGAAAATGTCCCTGCGTGGGAGGTAACAGGTTTAAATTACTTCATAGCTTTCATGCTGTGCTCACTGAAGCCATTACAAAGTAGCAGAACTTTTTGCTGACAATACATAGTGCTTTTAGAGCAGCACTGTACCCAATAATAAAGTAAATGTTGAGAAAAGAATGGATGTAGGAAAGACAATAATATCAGTTTTCTTTTGGTTTCAGTGCTTTCTTTAAACTAATTTGCTATGAATTGAAAAATTATGCCTGTAGAGTTATTTTTGTACTTTGTGCTTGAAACCAAGACTATCATGGGTTATAAAGTTTTACTTATACATCAGGCGCTGACGGTGAAATTTACATTAATGATTGCAAACAGGTAATACGCAAATGAAATAATGGGTCGTTTCACAGCAGGGAATATATGTTTGTAGTTTTACTTGAATGAAATATTAATTCCAAAGTCAAGACAGATGTTTATAATGTAATTTCCATTGTTTCTTTGTCCTGATTTGGGATAGCTTTTCCTTTCCTGAAATTTTTAATGAATTGATGTTTTTCCTTTGTGTTGATACACCAGAGGCTTGGTCAGTGGAAATCCAAAATCTTGCTTTTCTTTGGCCACCATAAAATGGTCAGCTCATAAACAGAGTTTCTTCCCTGCCAGTCACACTTTTCTAGATGAAGAAAAGTCATGGGTACTTTTTTTTCTATTTTAAGGGGATGGTCTCCAATTTGATAAAGCTGTGGACTGTTCTCTCAAATATTCATTAAGTGACCGTCATTTCAGGGCAGATTAGAGCCCAGATCAAACGGTGGGTCCTGTGTCTTATTGAGAGATTCTAGGGATTTCTTGAAGTTGCTTCAAGCTCGTGTAGAAGTAGAGAGGGAGAAATGTTTGAGCCATAGAATGACCTGATCAGTTTTGTGTGTTATAAAAAACACTTTAGTGATTAGAGCTTGAAATAGAGAAACAGTAAAGATTAAGAGAAGAGGAAACACAGATTTACAAAGTAGAATTGACTGGATTTGATAATTAATTTGAAGTTGTGTTAGGAAAGGGTGTTATTTTCAGTAACCTTCCAGGCTTGGGCATCCAAGTGCTAGTAAATGATGATGTCATTTACCAAGATAGGTAATAGAGGATAGAGGAATACTTTGCAGGGTACAGAGTTGTTGAATTGAGTTTTGGACATACTGAGTTTAAATTGCCTTTGGAATATCTAGATGAAATTATGTGGTAGACAGAGGACTCTGAGGACCTAGAGCTAAGGAGAGAAATCTGGACTGATGCAAATGTACTTATGAAATCTGGATGTGTATTTGGAATCAGCATATGGTAGTTGAAATAATGGCAAGGGCAAAAGAAGAATGAGGATAGAACTCTAGGAGCACTGCCTTTTAAGTAGCCGACAAAGGAAAAGGAGGTTTCAGCACAGTGAAAAGGAGTTGAAAGTTGATAAGGGTCCTTTGGACTTGACAGCCATGCAGCTTCAGGGGAGTGTTTTAGACAAGTGAGTGGTAGAAAAGTAATGGTAGTTGAGACCACACATTTGGAGCA